GCGACTGTTATTCTATTGTTACTCTGTTTCCACAAAATTCCATTCAGTTTACGACACAAGCGATTATGGGGTTATAATAGTGATGACATCAGGGATGCTGATGTGTCTTGCATTTGCGGAGGGAAAGTTGAATTCTGCAGGCTTCTGGACCAGCTGGAAAGCAGATGATGAGTCCAGTTTATAAGGATCATGAATGAGTAGCTTTATATTAAATATTCATATCTCAAATTTGATCAATCTCTGTAATAAATGCCCTATGTTGAAGTAGGCTTGGCTGTCTTATCCTTTCCTTCTGCAGAATCCTATCCCCTTACATAAAAGCCATTTCAATAGTGCTTGATAAGATATTGTAGTGTAAAATGAAAAATATGGTGCTAACTGGTCAAAGCTATCCTGATTAGCTAGAAAATGATATCACAATAATATGCTCAATTTTTGTTCAAGCATTAAGGAAGGGGGATAGGATTCTCAAATGTGATTGGTCAAGCAGCTTTCTTTTTTGTTGGTATTTAGTCATGGGAATGTTCACTGTATCACTCTGCTTGTTCATGTTTTCTGTCTTTCCAGTGATCCAGACCAAAAATTCCCATCACTTTGCTTCACTTATAAACACTTTTCCAGTCTGTGTGTTGCAAGAAACGTTTGCTTCTCATGGAACTCATTTGTTTTCTCTCATTTCACCTAGGCTGCTATTATTTTAACAACAATACAGTAAAACAGTACTATTGTAAAATATGAATATAATTTAAAATAACTGTTTTCTGTTAAAATATATATTTTCCTGTGATACCAAAGCTGGATTTTCAGCAGCCATTACTTTAGTCTTCAGTGTCACATGATCCTTCAGAAATCATTCTAATATGCTGATGTGCTGCTCAAGAAACATTTCTTATAATTATCAATGTTGAAAACAGTTGTGCTACTTATCTTTTTATTGTTTTCTTTTTTTGGAAACTGATACATTTTCTTCAGGATTCTTGGTAACATTGTTATTAAAGGGGTCATATGATGTTGCTAAAAAGAACATTATTTTGTGTATTTGGTGTAATAAAATGTGTTTATGCGGTTTAAGGTTCAAAAAACACATTATTTTCCACATACTGTACATTATTGTTTCTCCTCTATGCCCCGCCTTTCTGAAACGCGTCGATTTTTACAAAGCTCATTGGTCTGAAATGCAAGGTATGCTGTGATTGACCAGCTATCCAGTGCGTTATGATTGGGCAGTGGCAACAACAATACTACAGCGAGAATCAAAGTTACGCCTTCTTTCTTTGCGTGAACATTTGGGCGGCGTTATGCAAATCTTCCCACATAGTGAGGTAGATATGTGGGGGCGTGTTAGAACGAGTCATTTTAGGTAGGCGTGGCTGACTCTTAAATTTTATAAAGAATATCTCTTTGGATTTGAGACTTTAGTCTTTGCAACTTTACAGATCTTCTTTATGCACCAAGAGCTTGTAACACTCCAAAGAGAAAGGAAAAATTGAAATCGCATCATATGACCCCTTTAAGATCAATTTAATGTGTCCTTGCTGATTTTTTTTTCTTTAAAAACAAAACAAAAGAATCTTACTGATGGCAGACTTTTGAATGGCAATGTAAATGGCAAACACATAATGCAGGAATGAAGTGTGGATTACATTAAATAGTACCAAAGTATTTTACTCATTTATATTTAAAGAGAACAGAAACCGAAGACTTGGTTATGCTCAGATTTTTGTACTGTCTGCTGCCTGTGGTTAAGATGGTTTTGAGCTGGATACCATGACCTGGGATCTGAGCTGTGGAAAGGCATTTCAAGACTCAAGCTGTCTGATGTGATCCAGGTTGAAATGATGGACATTTAATGAGTTAAGATGAAACACTATGCCCTGGAGATGTGGACAGACGAGCAGCCAAGACAGACTGTTTCAACATATCTGCATCTCTCTTGGCAGGTCAAGATAACAGGACCTGGGAGGAGTAGATTGTTTTTGCAAAATTTCATTTTTAGTCTCCCATGTCTTAGATAATGGTGCCCTGACACTTCATGAGTATGTACTGCGGGTACTCCATTATTTTGTCTGAACAAAACCAGAATGTGTTTTGAATCATGTCTTGGGATGCCTCACAGAAACATCAATGACTCTGGGTTTCTGAGCATACATTTTTCCAGCAAATTAACATTTGACTTCCTGACAGGGCCATTGACCAATAGGTGGCAGAAGATGTCAGCATGATGATAGATGGGTACGAGATGTGCTCCACTGTTCACTGATGTAAACCACACACAGATCCAGATAAATGACCAGACTCGGTCGCAAAGTACACCCACTGAACTCCACAAACTTCTACATACTCCCTGATCCTTGTTTGTTTATTAAGAATGTTGGCTAATTAGATTATGCTTTCATCTAGCAGTGAAAGTGTAGTCTACGGCGTAGTTTAATGTTTGTTTATATCCATTCAGAAGAATTCAACTGATTTGCCCCAAAATCAGTGCAGAAATAAAAAAGTTGAACCTGCAGATAACTGGGATTATATTTTGCAGACCGTCTTTTATTTACACTATGCAGTCAGATTGAGTTTACCTTGTTGCTGTTATTTTCAGTGTGTTATGGGAAACAGTAAATGGTGTGATTGGACTGTGGTGACACATCTTATACTTGATGTACACTACTGTTCAAATGTTTGAGGTTGGTACGACTTTTTAATGCTTTCTTTTAAGTCTCATATGTTCACCAAGGCTGCATTCATTTGATCGAAAATACAGTAAAACTGTGATATTGTGTAATCTAACAGTATTCTGTTTTAATATATTTTAAAATGCAATGTCACATGATTCTTCAGAAATCATTCTAATATGCCGATTTGCTGCTCAAGAAACATCAATTATTATTATTAATAATGTTGAAAACAGTCAGCTTAATATTTTTGTGTAAAATGTGATAAATTTTTCCAAGATTCCGAAGAACAGAATTATTTGAAATATATTTGTTTGTAATTTTAGAAATGTATTTACTGTCACTTTTGAAATTTTGATCAATTTTATGCATCCTTGCCAAATAAAAGTATTAATTTCTTTAAAAAAACGTGCTGACCCCAGACTTTTTGAACAGTAGTGTAAATGAAGATGAGAGATTAGTGGATGACTCACTTTGTGAGCATGTAGGTTTCATTCACAGATAACCTACACCTAAGGCGTAACCCACAGTCAGGCGTCATTATCGCAAAATGAACCCTGATGGGGTGATCAGATCATCCTGAATAGGTTTATTTTGCGATAATGATCATCTGAGTGTATAGCATCCTACTTATTAGTTGACTATTTGCCAAATAAATAAATAAATGGACATTTAAATTATTTTATTACGTGAAAGAAAGAGACCATGGAGTGCTGCTGTGCACAACTATGGAAATCGGTTGGCCGGCAACGACAACAATCAAATATACAGTTTATCAGTCATTATACATAAACATTTGACCGCAGAATGTTAATCTGAATCAAGTGTTCCAGAGAGCTGTGTAATAAAAACAACTACTGTGGCATGGTGAAGATATGCACATCAATGTACAGCATCAAAAAAGAACCATATGTGGACTATAAACCAGTAAAACATTTGTTAAACATTTGAATTGGCAACTTAAGAGACTTGGAGGAAACCCAAATACATTGTATAGTTCCTGAAAAGTCCTATGCATTTACTCTTTGAAGAACATTTGGATCATGTGTAAGTGCTATTCTCTTTCATTGTGTAAAAGGAAAAACTATTCATTTATACATCTCTACTGTATTCATTTGCACATATTCTAAATTGATTGCTAAATTATTATAATCACGCACATGTAGGATGGCTGAAAAAATCATTGAGATATTTGAACTAAACCGGCATCTCCGAACAGCATGTGTTAGAAAACACTGAGTAAATGACCATACTGCCTTTTCACATCTCCCCAGGAGCCTTGTGTGCTGTTATTTTACACTAGTTTAGCCTGGCAAGTCAAACCAAATGCTTCTTTTCTGGTGAGTGTGATTTATTTCTTGCAGTTTCCGCTAAACTATTTTGTTTTGAGACTTCAAGACCACTTTTTCTACAAACATGCGTCATCGTGATCTCACCGGATTTGTCAACAGTTACATGACTTGACTTGTGCTCTGATGGTTATTGTGACAGAATAATTCTTGATGATTTATTTCCTTTTATATTTATTTTGGATTAAGTCAGGCTAAGTTTAGTACTCTAAGCCTAAGGGATTCGTTTGAATGATTTTAAAACTCTTTTAATCAGCACTGTAACAGCATAATATGATTTACGTCATAGATTGATGCTACAATGAAAGGTGCTATAAGGAAATGGGGAATATTTTATTACATGATCTGTTTTGAGACACCTTGGAACTTTCCTATCAAATTTTCAGATTTTTGCAAGACTGAATCCATGAATGTGGACCTAACATCAGAAAATGAAAGACCTATAATGGCTTTAACCAGGATTGTGTACCATTCAAAATTTAAGCAAGAATGCCTCTTAAACTCCAGTTTAAGTCCTCGGATTGAATTAATTTTGAATTCAGGACGCAAACAAAATTGCCATTTGAATAACTTTTAAACATAAAATCAAGATTTCTCAAGACAAACTTTGAACTCTAGGTTTAAAGAGAGACATGAAGAGAGAGAGGATAGATAGATAGATAGATAGATACCACCTATAAATATGTATTTAGTTATTTGATTATATTTAATAAGTGAACTTCTGTGGACTAAGATGGAAAAACACTTCCCAGAATGCATTACTTGTGTTGGATTTCTTTGATTTAAAATTTCTTAAATTCCTCTTCCTGTCAATTCAGTTCATCTTTCTGTGGAGTTTAGCTAATTAAATTAAAATTCACACACATAAATTGAAAGGGAGCCAATGTATCACATTTATTTATTTATTTTTATATTTTTGCTTACTTAGGATTGTACGTGAACAGTCACATGGTACACTACATCATTGCTGGTTCCCTCTCTGTAGGAGCTGAGACCATCAAGAAATACTGGAGCCGATATTATCAAGGTTCCCAAGGTGTGGTGTTTGTCCTCAACAGTGCCGCATCAGACGAAGAGATGGAGGCGTCCCGGTCTGAGCTTCTCTCGGCCATGCAGCATCCTCAGCTGTGCACCCTTCCTTTCCTCATTCTCGCCAACCACCAGGATTCACCAGCTGCCCGCTCTGTATCGGAGGTATGGTAACTTTCCACACCAAATATAGCTCTATGTTAAGTGCTGGCCGTCTTCTCTGTGATCTGCCGCTGTTGAGGGTTGCTGGGCTCTGTTTGTACACACTCTCTCAAGTGTTTGGACTGAGCGCTGGGTAGCGTGCGTTTTGGAGAGCATCCTGTTGCCATGCGGTAAGAGCAGTTGTTTATGGTCAGCCTTGGAAGATGAGCGACCAGGGCTGGGATAGGATGTTGTGGGGAGCTCCCCCTCCCTACTGCATCCTAGAACCAGAGCTGATGATGTAAACATGCTGTGACGTGGGCCGGCTGACTAATAGTCTCTTTCCACATGCTGAGAAAACCCTGTAGATGTTGTTCTCCTCAGAAGGAAGTATGAACAAGCAGCAGGAGACACTTTAAGTTTTCCAAGTATGTATTAAATCTAGACAAGGACGTAAGTATGACAGTCTGGTGCTGTAGTTATGCATCTGAGACAGGAAAATATCGATCTACATACGTACCATGTGTACATTTTTGCAGGTGGTTACATATTTTGCACTTACATGTGACGTCAGTTTCAGGTGGCTGAATATTTGGAATAATAAGTAATATTAGTACATAATAAATTAAATAAAGACACTTTTTAAATTGTGTCAGCAGTGGTTATTTGAAACGGAATCCACTAGAGTGTCACATATTGAATGTATGGACTAGTTTTATCATTTTTGGTTAATTACTTAATTATTTAAAGGAAATAAATTGTGGATGCCACCTGAGGTTATGAAATTTTATTCTTCGAAAAAGTGCCCCTAAATCATATGGATAATTTTTCTAAAATTCCATCAAATGAGTCATGATGTAAACATCTGGAATGTCGTACTCAAACGTTATTACAGAAAGAGATGTGGTTTGTCAGAGTTTCCACTATTGAATGTTAAGGAAAGGCAGGGCATTGTCTTCTGCGCAGGACTTGCTGATGTCCAGCCCACTATAAACAAGTGGGTGAAGATGGTATCAGGTTAGGAGTTCAAGCTTCTGATCACATGTAGACCACAGATTGAAGCAAGTCAACCCCTCTACTGCTGACTCCTCTTAGCCAGTCAGACTGAAGGAACGACATTCATCCCAGCAGATTCCCATCATTTTTGTAAACTGATTGCATTTCATGTATTCTTGAAGGTGCAGACATTTTACATTAATCCTGCATTTACCTCTTGGCTCCTCCAACAAGAGCTGTTGTCTGTGATTCAATTTACCAAAAACAAGTGGATGTCTGCTTCTAAATCTACTGGTCAATAAATATGACTCCCAGCTGGAGAATGAAGGGCATATACAGCATAGCACAGGGGGCCGCAAGGGGGTGCTATTGTGTCTGCGGGAAAGTTACAAATAAATTCACCAAATTTGACATTACTACAGTTTCAATCTGCTTTCTAAAGACTAAAATCATGAGATGAATCCAAATTATTTTGTCACACTGACAGACATAGTTTTATGTTTCTTTTCAGGTTTATACATTTACATTTAGCTTCCTTAATGGTATTGTACACGAAAGATATTATATTCCAGATAATATTATACACATTTATATTTGTACAGCATAAATGGGTGTTTATGTGAATAAAATATAGCTACGTTCATATTTTAGCAATAGGGTCACTCGCAAAGACATCAAGCAGATTGTCACTGCTGAGTTGTAGCTAGGGCTGGGCAGTATGGCAAAAAAATTTGACCGATTCTTGATTTTTTACGATTTTTAACTAGTCAACTTGAAAATGTAACTACAACATGATTCAAGAAAATTCTATTCCAAGTGCACCACATGAAGTTATCAACATGATGTAAATGTTAAACAAATCACAAGGTAATTCAGTTTCAAAATGACTGAAGGTATAACACCAGGTATAACAGTTATAACAACAGTAGATTATTATTAACTATAGATGTTCTGTAAAAACCAACAGCAGCTTTCAGCCTGTCACCATGATGCAAACATGAAATATAAGACATACAGTAGTAGTTACAGTTTTTTTTTGGATTGCTCTGCTTTTCCATTGTTTTTTTCCATTGTAAACATCGACGCGTTTGACTGTTGCACTGACATCTCTTGCGGCGTCTCATGCATGAAACGACATTCTAAAAACGTGGCGCTCAAGTTAAAAGAAGTTCACTCCCATCCTCTTGCATGTTTTTCCTATTCCACTGCCCACGTTGCATCTTTGTCAATGCAAAAGCGCATTCTGTGTGAATGGCGACTAGCGATATGAGCGCGTCGTATGTGAGCGGTTAATCACGTGCGCCAACATGTGGTTGGATCGTTATCATTGGCATATTGTCAAAGTGTCAAATTCTAACGGTTGGTCATATTTCTATTCAAAATCGTGATGCCTCGATTTCTAAAAAATAAAGTCGCGACAAAACATTAAATTCGAATTAATTGATAAAATCTGAAAAATCGCCCAGCCCTAGTTGTAGCATATTTGAACTACACTGAAATACATTGAAAGTACAGTGTAAACCTATTTATCCCCACAATAACATGCAATAAAGGCCTTTATGAATGTAAAACTTAAACTGACGTGATATATTGATCACGGCTGGATATAAATTTCACATGCAGAAACAGATCTAATCAGCACTGACTGCAGTGCAGATTATAGCTCATGTGGGTTTTGGGTGTTGATTAATGTGTAGTAGTTCTCAATAACTCACTCCCTGATAACCATTTTTCATTTATGGATTTTGACTTTGTCAAAGCAGGTCTGCTGTCGAAGTTATGCTGCAAGTTCGCTTACAGTATATACTGCTTATACATGCTCTGCGAAACTGGCCTAAGTAAAGGGAAGAGCATTTAGTAATTGTGATTACATGTGAAAGTGACACCTGCCTTCCTCCAGTGCGGTTGTGTTCGGTGTGGGATGTTTTGGCTAGCCACCTCCACTTTCTACTTGTGTTTCACTGCTAGACTCTCTCGACTGAAGAGGCATGCATTGTGGTCGCAGTGAGGACTCAATTGGCGATGAGAGAAGGAGCCTGCAAAGTATTTCAGACAAGCCTGTTGCCAATTCTTGACATGAGGAAATATGCTGGAGAGCTTTTCGAAAGCTTAAGTGCTGATGATGGAAATGAGTATCACACTATACTCGAGTGTGCATTGATATGTGCCGGATATAAGATAATTACAACATGTCTGCGGCAATGCTTAGGATCTCATAGGATTTTACAGACAACCACTAATGAAAAATAGCAACCGACTTGATGCTGGTCCACTTTCCACATCGATTTGTATAGTCTATAAGCCTATAGGGTTGTGTGCCACCCGGTCAGCAGATATCCTGATATTGACCAATGGCACGTGTGACATGTACTGTGTGACTGCATGCTGGAGAAAATCTTGTATGTGGTGTTGACTTCAGTCAGCTGGCAGTCAACCGAGAGAGACCACACAGACCCTTCTTTTGTTTAAGCTCCTAAATGTGGTCAGTTGCGTCTGATCAGCGCAAACCACATTACTGGGGAGATTGCCATGTGTTGGTCTATTTTTAGAAGTTGAAGTCACAGAGAGCGATTGACCTCTTTTAGCTGTTTGCAAACACTTCCAGAGCCACGTGAATTTGGCTTATAGAGGCAGTGAGCCCTGCCACAGGCCTTTTATTTAATTATGGTGTCATCTCTATTCTTGTTGTAGGCATACTGTGTATCCTGTCACAGTGAGGGATCAAGTCCCACACGTCGATCCGCACTTAACTCTGACATAGTTGCCAATCGCTTTGAATGGGATATGGCCTGACTTAGTTTTCATCTGTCCCAGGTTTGAATTGTCACCTCTTTTTTGTTTGATTGCATTTTTAAAAATAAGGAAAACACAAAATTAAAAAACTATAAATAAATTAAATCTATTAGAATTAATCATTTTTTTTCACTATTTTTTTCCTCTGGTACTTCCTTGAGATGGTCAAATCAAGTCAAACATAAAAACTGAAAGAACTGATTTCAACTTTCATGCTGTGTGTGAGAAAGTATGGTTGACCCATCAAAGCAGAGAGGCGGAATAGTAAAGCCGGATATCCAAGACAGGTTTGATCCCTGAGAGGGGAACTGGCATTTGTAGTCGCATTTCTCACTTCCTTTTTCCTCGCCTCTTTTTGCCCCACACACTCCTTTTGTTTAGATGATTGTGCATTTAAATGTTTTATTTTGTGTCTTGTTCCACATATTTTTCGAGGCAGAAACCCTTCACATTCTCTTGGAGTTTTTGAAATGCTTACACCTAAACATTTCAAGATTCGCCATAATAAAAAGCTTCAGACAGTTGAATCTTCTTTCAAGCAAACCTTTCAAACATTACTTGCCATCATAAATAATCCAGATGTAGAGGAGCTTGTAGAGGAGCTTTCGTGCAGAACTTGCATGCTTAATATTAAATGAAAGATACTAGATGTCTCTGAGTTAGTGTACAAACAAATTGTTTGCTTAACTCTTAAGGCCATTGCACACTGAGTCCGAAATTTTTGCACGTTGAAAAATAAATACGACCTCACGCTGTGTCAATCACATTTACACACTGCCTCCGAAACTTTCGTCCATCATAAAAAATTTCGGATCGGGTTCGATTTTCTGCATTTTTCGCATCCGTAGCAAGCATTTTGAGAGGTGTTTTGACAATTCAGAGCCACCGTACAAGTGCACGCCAAAATCCAGAATGGCGATTGTCAAGTTCATCCACTTTGTCTAGTAGCACAAAGCACTGTAAAGATCCTTGCACACTGAGTTCACAGATATTAGTGGTCTTCTTTTTAATATATGGCTCTAGTATCGCTAGCAAAGCATCAAACTGAGCCACTGACATCCTGAAGTAAACTTTGAATCGCCCGTGATAATCCCACTGCTCCTTAAGGAGGAGGAGCTCTCCTTCGTCTCTATATCCCAGGATTGGATGGACCCAGTATTTCCTTTCTTTTTCTCTTTTTAAGAATCATCCTCATTGCTTGAAGACTCCATTTAGTACTGTTTTGCGAATTTTTT